CCCACAAACGTCTCCCACCAAAATGTCTCCTCTTCATGTGCACCTTTCTCCCCCCGAAATGTCTCCCCTTCGCGTGCACCTTCCGAAAACTTGAGCCCCACAAACGTCCCATCTCGAAATGTCTCCCCTTCACGTGCACCTTCCCTAGACCTACGCCCTACAAATGTCTCCCCCGGAAATGTCTCCCCTTCGAGTGCACCTTCCCTAGATCTGCGCCCCACAAACATCTCCCCCCGAAATGTCTCCCAATCCAGTGCACCTTCTTTAGACCTGCGCCCCACAAACGTCTCCCATCAAAATGTCTCCCCTTCGCGCGCACCTTCCCTAGACCTGCGCCCCACAAACGTCTCCCACCGAAATGTCTCCCCTTCGAGTGCACCTTCCCTAGACCTACGCCCCACAAACGTCTCCCCCCGAAATGTCTCCCCTTCGAGTGCACCTTCCCTAGACCTGCGCCCCACAAACGTCTCCCCCCGAAATGTCTCCCCTTCGAGTGCACCTTCCCTAGATCTGCGCCCCACAAACATCTCCCCCCGAAATGTCTCCCAATCCCGTGCACCTTCCCTAGACCTGCGCCCCACAAACGTCTCCCACCGAAATGTCTCCCCTTCGCGCGCACCTTCCCTAGACCTGCGCCAAACAAATGTCTCCCCCCGAAATGTCTCCCCTTCGAGTGCACCTTCCCTAGACCTGCGCCCCACAAACGTCCCATCTCGAAATGTCTCCCCTTCACGTGCACCTTCCCTAGACCTACGCCCCACAAATGTCTCCCCCGGAAATGTCTCCCCTTCGAGTGCACCTTCCCTAGACCTGCGCCCCACAAACGTCTCCCCCCAAAATGTCTCCCGATCCCGTGCACCTTCCCTAGACCTGCGCCCCACAAACGTCTCCCACCAAAACGTCTCCCCTTCGCGCGCACCTTCCCTAGACCTGCGCCCCACAAACGTCTCCCCCCGAAATGTCTCCCCTTCGAGTGCACCTTCCCTAGACCTACGCCCCACAAACATTTCCCCCCGAAATGTCTCCCCTTCGAGTGCACCTTCCCTAGACCTGCGCCCCACAAATGTCTCCCTCTGAAATGTCTCCCCTTCGAGTGCACCTTCCCTAGATCTGCGCCCCACAAACATCTCCCCCCGAAATGTCTCCCAATCCCGTGCACCTTCTTTAGACCTGCGCCCCACAAACGTCTCCCATCAAAATGTCTCCCCTTCGCGCGCACCTTCCCTAGACCTGCGCCCCACAAACGTCTCCCCCCGAAATGTCTCCCCTTCGAGTGCACCTTCCCTAGACCTGCGCCCCACAAACGTCCCATCTCGAAATGTCTCCCCTTCACGTGCACCTTCCCTAGACCTACGCCCCACAAATGTCTCCCCCGGAAATGTCTCCCCTTCGAGTGCACCTTCCCTATACCTGCGCCCCACAATCGTCTCCCCCCCGAAATGTCTCCCAATCCTGTGCACCTTCCCTAGACCTGCGCCCCACAAACGTCTCCCCCCGAAATGTCTCCCTTTCGCATACACCTTCCACACATCTACGCCCCACAAACGTCTCCCACCAAAATGTCTCCTCTTCGTGTGCACCTTTCTCCCCCCGAAATGTCTCCCCTTCGCGTGCACCTTCCGAAGACCTGATCCCTACAAACGTCCCATCTCGAAATGTCTCCCCTTCACGTGCACCTTCCCTAGACCTACGCCCCACAAATGTCTCCCCCGGAAATGTCTCCCCTTCGAGTGCACCTTCCCTAGATCTGCGCCCCACAAACATCTCCCCCCGAAATGTCTCCCAATCCCGTGGACCTTCTTTAGTCCTGCGCCCTGTCAGAATGAACAGGCAGGAATGGTGGACTAGCAAGGATTGTGAGTACAAATATGAAACCCTAATGTTGTGACCCCCTTATAGGCTAACCCACTACAGCCTACACAAATACAACATGTATAATGTTTGACACACCCCCATAGGCAAAGTGGGGGAGACCTAGGGGTCACAAGACCAGTCAAGGCAAAGCAAGGCAACAACAAGCTCAGGGTGGATCTCAAGGATTCCACACAAATTCCGAGCACAAGCTAGTGGTCACAAGACCAGTTCACATGCAAGTTTATAACAGAGCAAGAGATACAGTGATCACAACCTAGCAAGAGTAAACATGCAGGTATAGATATATATAGTGATCACAGTACAAGCAAAGTCAAGAGGTAAGCAAGTGAGGTCCAGTAGGCACAAGGCCTAGTAGAGTGCAGAAGCGCTGATGGTCACGAGGCTGAAGCGCCTTGGTGAACACATCAGCAGTGTTGGCCTCAGTGGCCACGTAGCGAATACAAAGCTGACCGCGCTGCTGCAGCTCTCGAGCAAGGAAGTACCGCAGGGCGATGTGCTTCGTTCTGTGCTCCAGTCTGTGCTTCTCACACAAGGCAATGGCAGCCTTGTTGTCGACGTACAGTACTGGAGGAGAACGAGGCCGCTCTCCGAGGTCGGTCAGCAGGTAGGTCAGCCAGCGTAGCTCCTGGGCAGCCATGGCTGTAGCGTAGATCTCAGCCTCGCAACTGGAGCCGAGAACAGAAGAAGAGCGTGTAGAGCGCCAAGAAACTGAGCCAGAGCCAAGGCTGAAGGTGTAACCCTGAGACGACCGCTGAGTGGCCTGGTCGTCTGCCCAAGAAGCGTCTGAGTGCCCTGTGAGAACAACTCGGTCTCGCCCTCCAAGCACAAGCCCCATGCCCGACGTACTGCACAAGTAGCGCAACACCCTCTTAGCGGCATCCATGTGCTCCTTCCTGTGACGGCCAGGAGCGACATAGCGTGCAAGGATGCTAAGAGGGTATGCAAGGTCAGGTCGAGTGCAGGTCATCAGGTACATGAGGCAGCCCACAAGCTCTGGATACGGGCCACTCGGCTCTACAGACTCATCCGAAGGCAGAGCTGAGAGCGAGTGACCGGTAGGCAGAGGAGTGGACTGAGGCGAGGAGTACGTGAAGCGGAAGCGCTGGAGAACCTGCTGCACCATGTGTGACTGAGTCAGGGTGATGGTGCGCCGTGCTTTGTCCCGGGTGATCCGCAAGCCAAGATAGCTTGTCAGCTCACCCAGGTCTGTGTACGTGTGTCTCCTCTGCAGCTCCGACTTCACGTAGGCGAGTCCTGCAGTGTCAGCAGTGGCAAAGACCAAGTCGTCGACGTACACGAGGATGTAGAACGGCGGCAGCGAAGTGTCGGTGCGCAGGAACAGCGACGGGTCAGCTGTAGAAGGCGCGAACCCAAGAGCCGCAAGAGTAGTCCTCAGTGTGTCGTGCCACTCACGCGGAGCCTGGCGGAGACCGTAGACCGGCCGCTGAAGCCTCCACTGGGTACCAGGAGGAAACGACCCAGTGAAGCCAGGTGGGCGGCGCAGCCAGATCTCCTCGTGCAGGCTGCCCTGCAAGAAAGCAGTGCTGAAGTCAAGTGAGTGAAGCTCGTAGTCGCGGTGAGCGGCTATGTGCAGCAGCACCCGAAGAGTAGTCATCTTCGGGGTGGGGGAGAAGGTCTGGAAGAAGTCAACTCCCTCTCGCTGACTGAAGCCTCGAGCCACGTAACGCGCCTTGAAGACAGGCGGAGAACCCGGCGGCCGCTTCACCCTGAAAATCCACATGCCACTGACGATGTTCGCCCCAGGAGGGGGAACCTCGTCGACGTAGGTGCGTGTGGACTTCCAAGAAGCCATCTCGGCGTCCATGGCTGTCTGCCACTGAGAGGAGTAGGGACCCGCCATCGCCTCAGCGTAAGTGCGCGGGGTCGGGATGTCTGGTGCATCCGGGTCTCCCTCAGGGGCAACTAGCAAGGACACGAGACGGGGCAAAGCAGCAGCAAGACACTGGAACTCCTCCTGTCTGTCCTCAAGGACGTCCGTACCAAGAGCACACTCACCCCCGACGGACGGAGGACAGACAGACTCAGACTCAGACTCAGCAACAAGGCTAGCAGCGTAGTCTAGACGACAGGCAGCAGCAAAGTCAACCAACTCAGCGACCAGAGCAGACGCAGCCGAGGACTCAAAGGTAGGGTCAGTGACAACAGTAGCGAGGAGACGCGTGACAGTAGGGTGCTCAGCACGATACCGGTCAGACTCAGGGTCCGGAACGTCAGGCAAAGAGGACGCAGGAGGAGACGGTAGAGGGACACGCTGAGGAGCAGTAGAGGGACGCAGAGTCATGTAGTGAGTGCCTGGGACAGGAGGAGGACGCTCACGACGGACACGACTACCAGTGCAAGCAGGACGAACAGGCGACGCAGGACGAGACTCAGGCTCACGACGCTCTGTAAGACCTCCTGTGGGACCAGTGTAAGGAGAGGGAGCAGGGAGAGGCGAGGTAGGCGGTAACTGTGACTGCGGCTGGACAGGCGGAGGACACTCTACGAAGGGAGGAGGACAAGGAGGAGGAGCCTGCCCAAGAACCTGCTGAAGGAGCGGTACGAAGTACGGTCGCGGCCGCGCAGCGTCTCCAGAAGCAGAGGAGACTCCAGCGGCCGGGTCCTCAGTACCAGTAGGAGCTCCAGCGTCCGGGTCCACAGCACCAGCAGCAGCTCCACCGGCCGGGTCCTCAGCACCAGTAGTAGCTCCAACGCCCGGGTCCTCAGCAGCAGCAGCAGCGCCACCGCTCGGGTCCTCAGCTCCAGCAGCAGCTCCACCGTCCGAGTCCTCAGCACCAGCAGCAGCTCCACCGTCCGGGTCCTCAGCACCAGCAGCAGCGCCACCGCCCGGGTCCTCAGCTCCAGCAGCAGCTCCAACGTCCGAGTCCTCAGCACCAGCAGCAGCTCCACCAGGCGGGTCCGCAGCACCAGCAGCAGCTCCAACGTCCGGGTCCTCAGCACCAGCAGCAGCGCCACCCCCAGGGTCCGCAGCACCAGGAGCACCACTCCGAAGACTGCAGCGCCGTGTGTACCACTCGCGGATCTGCTGAATGGGGGGGAGCTCCTGGGTAGGAGGGGAAGTACCGGGACGAGCTCCAGCAGCACCTCTCCGGAGGCGGCAGTACTCAGAGACCAGGGAAACCCGTTACCCACCTGCCGTGGATGAGACCCGAGAGGTAAAACAACTTCGCCCCATCGTAGATCTCGGTCCAGAAGCGGTGCTTGAGCGTCTTCTTGGTCTTCTTGAGCTTGCGCGGGTCTCTGAATCCGTCCAGGTGCGTCAGCACGCCCATGACCTTAGGGAAGCCGTGCACCTGCAGCATGTTCAGGAACTCAAAGGTCTCCTGTGTGGAGGGGAAGAGTGTGGAAATGCACGGGTGACGGAAGCAACAGAGAGCATTAGGTTTGTATGGGAGCAAAACGTCAACACGCGCATGACCTTGGGGAAGCCATGTACCTGCAGCATGTTCAGTAACTCAAAGGTCTCCTGTGGGCATCACGACAGCACAGTCACTCGTGCATTGAGGTGTATTTTGAGTGACTGTGCTGATGCATTTTGAGGTGTATTTCGAATGACTGTGCTGATGCATTTTGAGGTGTATTTTGCTACCTCTCCTGCAGCTGCTGGGAGGAGAGGGCTCCTCCAGGTGTAGCACGCTCAGGCTCAGCACCCCCAGACCCAGCACCCCCAGGCTCAGCACCTCCAGGCTCCGCACCTCCAGGCTCCGCACCTCCTGGCTCAGCACCCCTAGGCTCAGCACCCCCAGACTCAGCACTCCCAGGCTCAGCACCCCCAGACGCAGGACGAGAGTCAACAGCTACCTCGACAGGCTCACCCGGGTCTACCTGGGACACACCTGAGGGAGCGGCACCCTGAGGGGGGAGGGGGTCTGGTACCTCAGCACCTGGAGCGAGGAAGAGAGGCGGGGGGGGGAGCGGGGCAGTGCGGTAGGGGAGAGGCGGAGGCGGTAGTAGGGGACGGACTCGTCAAAAGTGACGTCCTGAGAGGCCAGGACACGACGCGAGGTGGGGTGGTAGAACTGCCAGCCAGGGGCGTCCGGGACAAAGCCAAGGAAGACGCAGGGGACAGCGCGACGGGAGAGCTTGTCCGCGGACGTGTCGCGGACAAAAGCTCGGGATCCCCAGACCCGAAAACGCGACGCATCGCCAGCCTCTCCCGTCCAACGCAGTGTCGGAGAAGTCTCGGGCAGGGAGACACGGGGCCAGAGGTTGAGCTGATGCGCAGCGTATCGGACTGCAAACGGCCACAGAAAATGGGGGGCAGCCGCATGGCTCAAGGAGGTACGAGCGACCTCCATGACCAGACCAATGCGGCGCTCAGCAACCCCATTCTGCTGTGGAGAGGCCGGAAGCGTGTACGACTGCTCAATGCCCTCCTGCTGACAGAAGGCCTCCAATAGGCCAGAGGAAAACTCCCCACCTCTGTCAGAGTGCAGACGCAGGACAGGGAAGTCGGAGCGGAAACGCTCACTGAGCTGGAGACGAGATCTGCGGATCCAAGGGATCAAGACATCAGGGACGTCACCCTTGGCGCGCAAGGGGAAGACTAGGGTTTAGGGTTTAGGGTTTAGGGTTTAGGGTTTAGGGTTTAGGGTTTAGGGTTTAGGGTTTAGGGTTTAGGGTTTAGGGTTTAGGGTTTAGGGTTTAGGGTTTAGGGTTTAGGGTTTAGGGTTTAGGGTTTAGGTTTAGGGTTTAGGGGTTAGGGTTTAGGGTTTTAGGGTTTAGGTTTAGGGTTAGGGTTTAGGGTTTAGGGTTAGGGTTTAGGGTTTAGGGTT